AGTTGAGAGAGCGATGTTGGAGAGGGTCTACGCGAACTTCCAAGAACGCCTCCAGCACTGCATCAACGATGTCAGCCACCACATGCCTGATGTGATTTTCCACACCTGACTGTCTCAAATGCTATTCCATCAATAAAATTGTTTTCGAGTAAAAATTAACTATTTTATGATGTTTTTAAGACCGACCATCCTCTCTGCCGCACCCTGTATTTATATTTTCGGCATATTTGCTCAAAAACGTTCAGTTCCACATTGAACAGTCTTGTATCATGTAAAATGATTTTAAAAAACCATCAACTTAGTATAGAGATCACTCACTGGAGTGAAACTTTGCATATCCTTTTTTACTAGCTTAGGTTAGTCCCAAAAACGTGCTTATTGCCCTTATAGGAAAATTGTTGCTTTCTCATAGAAGTTATGTATGCAAAACGTTTGCCCGTACTGTTTACTAGTTAGGCTTGTCTGGTATATATTCCAATATGCGACCTGACCTGATTTCCTTAAGTCCATACAAGCGTAACGAGTACTTTCAAGTTTAAGCTATTATGTTCCAAGAAATCATAGTAATTTGGTGTGCTTATTCATACACGCAACTTCGTTTTCAAAAAAGAATTGTTTGCTCTTTTTTCATTACGAGAAGGCTTCCTAGGCGTCCAAAAAACAAATGTTGATAACTTACTAAACATAAAATAGGACACGTTGAAGTTACTGAGTCAATCTACGTGATCCAGTTTATTTTGGGGATAAGTTCTTAATGATGGTGGAAGTGAAGGGATATTTGAATATCTTTTTGAAACATGTTGAATTCGCGCTACTTTGTTTTTAAATATCGGTGAATGTGCCAACCGCAAGAACCATTGCAAGCAAACGTCGGAATTCACACACATTTTAGAATGAATGGTGTAATATCCCGCATATGGCGCTGAAAGTTAATTAGCTAGATGTCAACCTCCAAATTCTTGCCTCATAAAATTATAAATTACACTTTTTACAGGTAATAGTAGTAGTAGTAGTAGTAGTATACGTTTATTTTTTCCCCAAAATACGAGTACAATGTGTTAATAAATATAAATGCTAACTTCAGTACAATAATAAACGTAAAATAAAACAATACCTGACTTTCATAAAATAATATCAAGATAACATGTTTTATAAGTCACAGAAAATTTTTAAATTGTCTTGTAAAGCTCATTGAAACCAAAATAGTTAGTTGTGTACGGGCAAATTTTTTTTATATAATTTTGATAATAAATTTTGCTTAGACCAGGATTTTATACAACAAGCACATTGTAAGTATAGAAGGTAAGGAGGAGTAGAACTTATATAATAACGTTTATTTCACTAACTGCAGAAATATGGAGGGCGAGGAGGATTAATACTAGCGTAGTACGATTTCTAGTAAATAATTTCTACTAGATTCCGTGTCTCTTGCCTACCAATTAAAAAAATATATCTTTTAAATAAAGATTTTATCAAAGACAATGTTTTTATTTTAGCAACATACATACGGTACACTTATGGCAAACAATTATAAAATCTACATGATAGGTAGATGTGGCATCGCAAGCTTACATTTCTTTGAAAAGTTTGTAGTTTTGAGTTTTCATTTTCTTTATATCTAGTACTATAAGCATGGCTAGTTTTATTGTAGTTGTTTTTGTGTTTGTATATGAATGGAATTAATTCATGCAGAAACAGTTGCCTTAGGTCAAACACTCCAGTCTCTGAAAATAACTTATCAGAAGGATAAGTATTTTTTTGCCAGATATTACTTTCAACTTTCTTTTTTGCAGGATATCCAGAGGCCGCAAATGACAATATGCGGTACTTCCCCAATTGAAAATAGCGTATCGTAGACGTGATTCAACTAATGAATAATTCAATATATTCAGGTGCATTTAGTATATGAGATGTTTTAGGTATTTAAAGCGATATAAGAGTTGTTGTAAGGTATTTGTAATGGAAGCTATATGAACATCCCATCTCAAGTGGCGATCAATGGTGTCACCTAAGTATTTATTATAGGTTTTCACAGATTAAAAGTTGTTCATATTGAGGTAGACAACGTACAGTATTAGAAAAAGGCGTAAAGAATGTTTTTTCATAGCTCAGGGTTAAAAGTTTATGAGCAAAATAATCAAGAATGGTTCCTAGATCCCGCTCTGCTTTAATTTTTACATTTTCCCGAGTATTATCATCATACAGGACTACCGTATCACCTACAAAGCTAAACATTTGACCAACAGACGAAGAAGTTAGAATGCTGTTTATGTAAATCGTAAACAAGATTGGTCCCAACACAGTATCCTGAGGTAAACCGTAATCAACTGTCTTTTCATTACTGAATGTGTCACTAATCTTCACTACTTGTTTTCGATTTGAGAGATAACTTGTAAACAACTGTAAAGGTCTGCCTCGTACTCCTGCATCCTCCAAGGTCTCCAAAATCTGCTGGTGGTTCACAGTGTCGAAGGCCTTGGCAAGATCCAAGAATACGCATAGTACCGGTGTACTCAATTCTAATCTTTTTCTGATCTCTTCTGTTAACCTAGCAATTGCATCTTTTAGATATTTACATTTGTCCAAAAATTTAACTAGCCTATTTTCCAATGTTTTCTCAAACAGTTTAGCTATAACTTTGATGACAGATACTGGTCTATAGCTATTTATACTTTTTACATCACCATTTTTATGGACAGGTGTAACTAAAGCTACTTTGAACCCTTCTGAGACTTCATTAGAAATATAAATCCGGTTGATTAAATGGCAAATAATATCAGCAGTATATTTAAATATTTCGGACTTCAAGTTGTCAAAACCGGGCGATTTTCCATTTTTTAATGTGTTAATGATTGAGGTTACTTCAGTTACATCTACCGCCTCTAAGAACATTGTACTTTGATTTATTTTCCTTTGCGGTCTATTTTTGTTTGGCCTCACAATGCGTTCAGCATAGTATTTGCCAATATTTACAAAGAAATAGTTAAACTTATTCGCAATTGTTATTGGCGAATCATATAATTTATTTTCATCAACTATTTCCTTAACTGTACATTTAGAACTGCCTTTACAGAGTTTATTAACTCTATTCCACAAGTTCTTAGGAGTATCTTTGTTTTTATTTATTTGTTTCCTGTAAAAATTGTATTTAGCATTTCGTATGAGTTTTTCTAATTTTTTCTTATATGCCTGATATCTTATCCTCACCTCCTCATTTTCTGGCTGCATTAAGTACTCAGAATATAGACGATTTTTTTCATTAACAGAATTTACAATACCTGATGTGATCCAAGACTTTCGCTTGATCTCGCGCCCATTCAATTTTGTTGTGGTTGTATTTTTATCAGTTAAATATCTTAATATGTCACTTAGTTGGCTAACCAAAATGTTAACATTATTTTAGAATAATAATTGGTCCAATTATATTTATCTAGGCCTTCTCTAAGGCCATTATAATTGATATCTGGAATTTCTCTAACAGAAGTATTCGCATGATGTTCTACCTTATCTGTTGGTATCCCTAGGATTGTGGCTTTATGATCAGTTATGTGATTTTTCAAAACCATGCAGATACAATTTCTCTCAAAATTTGTCACATCAGATTTTAAAAAAATATGGTCAATACAATTGGCTACAATACCATGCATTCTCGTATTTTTATTTATCATAGATATGAAGTTGTATTCGCTCAAGATATCTAGGTAATTGTGGGTGTTATTATTCAACTCATTCAACCTCAAATTCATATCGCCTACCAGAATATGAGAAAAGACTTTGGAATTGTTTATTTGTTGTTAGTATTTTTCAAGATTTTATATGAAAACTTCCTCACTGTCTGATGGCGACCTATATACTGAAGTAATAATAACTTTGTTTGACTTGTTCAGAAAGATTTGAATTTGTATTGCTTTACAGTAACCAATATTTATGATTTTATATACGTAGTCAAAGTTTTTCTTTAAATACACAACCACACCATCATTTCTGTTAAATTCAGCATTGTTATAGATCATGTTGTAACCTGATAGGTGAAAGAGGCTGGTGTCTGGTTTAATGAATGTTTCTGTAAATATAATGCAATCGTACTCACAGTTCATTTGATCAGATAATATTTTGGCCTCATCAATTTTTTTTTCTTAAACTGCCGATATTTTGATGATATAGCTTGAAAAATGTACTCTCCTCTTCACCACTCCAATACTACTTATTGTGCTCCTCCACATTAGAAACCTCTAATGTGTCTATTTATATATAATTTACATCACCTATGTATTCCTCCATTAAATTGCTATACAGAAAAAAAAGAAAAAAAATTAACCCAGACATCACAAATTACAATTTCATAAAGAATTAAAATGTATTGAAAAATTGAATACAAGGATTAACATGATTTCCTCTCCCAAAATAATGTTTACGTTCTAATAGTTATCATAGAATTTATTTGAAAAACGACATATCTTATCTAAAAATGGGCAGCAGACAAAAGTATATTCTTATTTTTTTACATCAATACATTTTTTACTCCAACTCCATTAATATTAAGTAAAATCCATTTCCCTCAGTACACACGAATCCAAAATACATAGTTATATGAAGGAAAATACTTTAGAAGCTCCAGAATTTCAGCTATATTAATACACGAAAAACAAACAAAATATAGTACCATAATGAAGTTCAATTATAGTACTCAAGCTCACACTAGTTTGCCACTATTGATCTGCACATTTTCATAATGGCAAAAACTGAAGCTAGTTTTGGAAGAGCCTCGTAATGTCACTATCTGACCTTATTAAATGAATCTTTCTATTTACGTTCACATAAATTTTGCCACCGTTTGTCCACACATTCTTCAATATGACCTTCTCAATTAGTAACGACGTCACCTTGAGTCGAATTGGTGTAAGGTCTTCGGCCACCACAACTCCAGTGCCCTTGAATAGCCTTTTTTATCTTAAATGAGACTCCTTACTGCACCATCACTTAGCTTGAGGAATATTCCTCTAGATTTTCTGTTTGCTGCATTCTGCTTTTCCAACTCTAAAGTATATCTCGATATCATTTTCCTGCAAATCTATTGACAGTTTAGAGTTGGGAAAAGTTCTGGCTTTTTCCCGTGTATTTTCCTTTTCATCTTCAGCAAGGTTGAATATTCTTAGATTATTTTTCCTAAGCCGCTGATCTATATTATCACATCTTGATTCTATTTGATGCAAAACCTTAATTTGATTTCGCATTTTACTTAATTCAGCTTCAGTACGTGTTTTAAATTCAGCAATACTCTTTTCCATCAGGGACAAATTCCTTTCCATCGTTTCCAGTTTTTTACTTACAGTTTTTGCTGTGGCTTCTGCTACCTGACCAGCGATCTTAGTTATGAACGTTGGATCATTTAAACTGTTTGTAAGGATATGACTCTCTAAATTTTTAATTTCCTCGCACGTTTCGCGTGTGAGCACCATTTTTTCTACACTAGGTAATTTCGCCACCTTGCCCGAAGATACTTGCCACTTTTAAAAATTTTTCTAACTGTTTTTAGCACACTTTTATCGCTTTGAATCGGGAGCAGAATTATTACCGTCTACTCGAATCAAGCCTTGGTGAATCGAATGTCTTGAAAACAATATCAATGCATATTATTAAAAATTTCTCCGCGCTAAAACAGCCTTATTCAAGTTTTTATCTTTTATCAGTGAATACAAGACGTCAACTAGTCTACACTTACGGGTTCTACCTAAAGACAGCAATCGAGATATCCTGGCGTCATCAATCGGAATTTGTCAGAGCTGTGTTTCTATTTTTGGCAATGATTGTAAGTCTACTTTGAAAAGATTACTGTTTCATAGATGGTACTATAATCAATTATATGCTAACAACTGCTCAAACTATTGTATGTATAGAATCAGTGGAAAACAGTGTGAAAAATAATCGTACGTTTTATATTTTTTGTGGGGACCTGAACGACAATATAGTATTGTGTTAGAGCCCTCCTTCACCGAAACACCATGGCGGCGTCGCCAATTTGAAAGCGTAGCCACACTGCCGTCTACTTATGTGGCATCTGGCGACTCTGAGATGCCAACAACGTCCGTAAAGCACCCTAATAGAGCACGATGCTAGGCTGCGGCTTAGCTCGTCAGTGAATCATATTCAACGAATCCGAATAGATTATCCTTTTTATTGCAATAAAAAACTTTATCGAATAGATTAGATGCAGTCAAACCTATATGTTTACATTGCATTGTTTATTGCCAAAATTGCGTAGCTTTCGTGCATACATTTGGCTACCATTGCCTAATCAAGTAACCACGTTGTATTTTGATAGTAATAATATTTACCGCTGGAAAGACCTACCTGCATTAGGTTTCTGCCGGTCTTTTAATATTACGCAAGAAGTACCATGTACTGGAATCGTCTAACACCACAATTGTCTGCAAACAGTCGCATTCCTAAAGAGTAACACTAAAATACAAATTTAATACTGTCAGTTCTGTAGGCAATCAACAAATTTATCTTAGGTCTACTTTAATACTGACTACAGACTGAGACTTTAGAGACAAACAAATCGTTGCTACAATTCGTTGATCATGTCAGTAAAATATTTGTAAGATGTGTCATCGATGTCATCGTGATATTATTTGAAAACTGGTATTATCTATCTGTATCTATCTATATTGAAAAATCTAGGTCTCTGGACCCGAGGTTTCATCCTTTAGGTATTCGTCATTCTTTGTTCTGACACGTAAACGATCTCGCTGGCGACTATGTGGCTATGCTACATGATCAGAAGTAGCCATGGCTGCGTCATTAGCGAAGTTGCCACGGCATCACGATCAGGGAGGGCTCTTAGTCAAAGATGGACAACTTACAGAAATACACGTTATACACAGCAGGATAGATAGACCGACAGACAAAAAACGCGGTTCATAAAACCTGTTAAAATGCATTGCAAAATAAAAAACGAATTCTTCCAGCATATCGCATGTCATCCCCTTAATCAAAATACCTAGAAAGAGGGTAGGAGGGGATGTGACGTGAGCCTTCCAGGACTCATATATACATACAGCAGCGTTACGGACCGGGCGTTAACGACTTTTGAATAATGAAAACAGTCATAATAACAGTCGTCACCGTGTAGGGTGCTCACTGCTCCTCCTCTCAGGATATTCCGTTTCGAAATATGGCGGGCTGGGGAGTAATTGATATGCCTATATAAATATATATTAATACAAATGGCTATCAACCCGGCCTCGGTCGAATGAGAGAGATACATTTACCTCAGAGCATACTTTACGACTATACTTTCAACGCTTAATATGGTCTTGTTTCATTAATAGGATAACTCCAGTGCTGGCGAGGTAGATCATTTGACAAAACAGGACATACATACCATGCTCTAATACAGAGTACTCAAAGTTTTCTCAGTTCTCCATTAAACAGATCAAAAGCAGCTAGTAGTATCATACTATAGCCATTTAACGAATTTTGGATGTTACGTTATCAATTCCATACGGAACAAGTAAGCAAATCGATTAGCCATGTGCAAAGCTGAAGCTCTATATATTTTATATTACGAAGACCAATGAAAGGTAAAGTCAAAATGGTACGCCCATTTCAAATAGATTGTTACATTGAGAGTGTAATGCATGGATTAGGAATACTCATACGTTGGCGATAAAATTTCCCAAGTGGCAAGACGAAGCTAAAGAACACATTGTAACTTCCTTGTATATCTGGACCTTAGGAGGCGTTAAGTGGCATCGCGGTATCGATGGTAGGCTACCAGAGTTACGCGAACATGTATGAAACATTCTACCCCATTCGCGACGCAATCACGAATATTCGATTCCTATTTATACGCACCTGCTGCTGCTGTAATATTTCTGGACGCGTCGATAGGTGAATAAATACCCGACCAGATGGCGGAAGCAGTTAGTCACTGTCGAGACACAGTCGAAGCAGTGGACAAAAAACGCCGAATTATGAGATAGAATAGTAGACCAGTTGACATAGTTATAAATATAATATATATAATTAGTTGCGAGTGCTATAAATTAGTGATTAGAAGGAGCCAAGACAATATGCTTACATTACATTGTTTGTCGCCAAAATTGTGTAGTCTTAGCGCATATCATTCTTTTAGCTAGTTTCCTACCATTGCCTATCAAAGTGATAAACCAATACATCAGCGTACATTCTTTCTTCTGAAAAGGATATTAAAGTAGCTATTCTTACTGGATGTATCACATCGAGCAAGGCGATTCGTTGCAATATGAATCGCCCAGTCATAAAGTAAATAAGGCAAATACATGAAAGTAAATATTCCTTAACGGCATATGAACAATTCTGCTTGGTTCATGATTTTGAAAAGTGAGCAATACGAAACATTCTCTCCATCACACATCAACAATGGCGAAATGCCTTATATTGGAAGTGATAGGAAACCTTGAATGAATTCACCTCTGTTTTTGTAAATAGTTATAGAAATTCGAACAGATTATTAGTTACCTTCTTGTACATAATATGAACATACCTGTTATTAAGTCAACTGAAATAAATCTAAAATATCTCTCAAGTGTCCAGGTTAAAGCCCAATGTACCATTTCGCAACGCCGATGACTATATAACACTTGTGGATAAGGTTTGCTCTTAATATGTTTAAACTGGTTTTCGCGATCCACAGAAACTCCCAATATTTTTGTTAGTTGTCTGTAATACAAAGATTGTATGGAACCTATGCACATTTATGTTTTCGCAGAAAAAGTACTACTTTAACGTGTAGTGTCAAATACTGCAAAACTGGCGGCTTAAACATGATGGACTAATTTTGGCGACAAACAGATCCTTCTACCTAGTCAGAATTCGTTGGCTCATAACTACAGCGCTATCTGTGAGACACTCACCTTTCTGAAATTCATGTATTAAATAAATAACGGTTGCGACAAATTCTCATGGCTGACGCTTTGTATTTAAGTTTATAGAAAACTGCCTCAAAGGACAGATTCGCAGCTAGGCATTGCAACTTTTTTATAGTATGAGATTGATAAATGGAGGCGCCCCGACACGACACAATTTACCTGATGCTACTGCGATTAATGATTTTAGAATGCACTAACGATGTCCAATGTGAACAAAACATCTTGTTACGTTCCCTGGAGTACATTAAATTATATTCCATAGTTACCATAAAATAATAGGATTAAACCTCATGACATGTTATTATGAATACCACTATAATCCTTTACCTACAAGACTGACCTCCTGGATATTATATTTTATAAACAACTCACAGTTTCGCAGCAGCGTACATAAGGTATTTTAGTTTACGAATTTCTGGATAAGTATCATGTGCCGCAAGTGCATTTTCATTCCGTTTCCTCTTCAACAAAAGGCACCGCAGAAACCGTATGGAGAATATCCTTCGGCAATTTTTTCAATAATGTATTATGTCTCAGTTCATAGAACATGAATTCTACCAAGACGCAAACTTTTTAGCTGATCAGGATTATCCTGCACCATTCCCGCGGTGATAAATACACTTTTCGAGAGATCTGTATATTTTGTCGAGTAGCTGTTGAGATGATAATTATTTATTTTGGCTGAAAAATAAAATTATGGTCACCAAAGCGTCAAATGCTTCAACAGACCGTGTCCTGTTCCTTGAATTGTTCGGGCCAATTATACTTCCGAAAAACACATATTTCGTGGTTCTTTGAGACACTCAAATAGAAGATCTTGTGTATTTTCACATTTACAGATCGCGCTATATCTGAGTTTTTTTAGATACCAAGTCAAATATGATTGTGTAACGAAATTCCAACTAAAAAAGCAACTCCGGTCGAGATGTGGAATGACATATTCTTATGTACCCTCGGGTTCAAAATAAACGCAACAAGCAAATTTTCGGTCAAATTTGGAACGTCATAACATAATGATTTTACCTCGATTTCCTTGATTTTTTTGACAAGCGGTAGGTACGCTCATCGGCATTAATGTGTCGTTATGAATTCTTCGTTGTAGCCACGGTTTGACTTCGTGTACAGAGTAAATCAAAATGTTTTGTTACTCCAACTTTTAGTCACTATGTGGTGTGAAGAAATCAGACCTCAATGTTTTCCATTATCAAGAACCACATTACCTCTACAATTTGACTTGTTATTCACATAGATATATACAGAGGCAAATGGACAAAATGGACATTTTACCACCAATTTTCCTTCCTCCCTTCATAACTTTTTTAATTCCCACACGAATCCAAAAACTTTTTCACCGAATTGTACAGAAAACTGTTGCCTTTCTGCGTAAGGTTCTAATTTCTTAAATCTTGATACTGTTTATCTACAGTTTATATAATACAGTTGCGAAGAATATGAAAAATTTTGACTTAACGTAAGAACACGCTGTATAATAATTTCGCGGTCTACCCTTTTGAAATACAGTATCAGGACGTAACCATATCTTC